GTGAAAAGCTATTAAAATGTTTTGTGCTCTATGCTTAGGTTCTAATCCCTCACTTCCCACTAATATCACCCTAGGGATGCTGCTGCTGCTGCTGCATCATACTGCTGCTTATAATTCTGGGCTCTAGATTTTATCCTGACCCTTGGCCACGCCGTAATACAGAAAAGGCATTGTGAGGCAAGTGAGTAGCTCCTTCACAGTGAAGCAAGGGTGCACAAGATTGCCTTAAAAAAATAACACAACTACTTAAGTAAATTAGCTATAATGGTTACAGTTAAATATAGATGCAGCTTGCATATTTAGCCCTACTGTAATATGCATCAATTTATTTCTGCATTCATACTCATTACACATTTGCAACAGAATGCATTTATCAGCAAAAATCTCAAACAACGAAATACCAAGTCTGAGACAAACTAATTCAAATAGGCATGTAGTTTTAAATATTAAAAAAGTCCAAACAGCAAAATACCAAGAAGAATTTTTTCACTGACTCCAGACAGCCTTAGTCAGGGAATCTAACAGCTACTGCCAATAACTATTTCAAAGTAAAAAGGGCTTGAATCTGTAATGTGTGAATTTCTTCCCACGAGTTGATAACTATTCAAAACAGAGATGAAACCAATTTATTTTTTTTTAATTTTTGCAAACAATTTACCACAGGGGGAAATCCTGGAGCCCTTGCCTATTCTGCAGACTTACGTAACCTTTTCAAAGAGGTTTAGACTCCTGATCTTCTTAGACACCTTTTAAAATTTTAATATTGGTATTTTAGATTACTTACTCATTCTGGTCTTATTTTTCTTTAATAAAGGATAAATTATGCACCTGTCACTGAAAAAATGGGTGTTTGGTTTGAGGCAAAAACATACTTACCACCATCAGTCATACTGCTTCCTTTCTCTTCCGTTTCCTGCTTTACCCTCTCTAATACTTCTGTAATCTTAAAATAGATATTTTTTTTCTTAATTAAACCAGATGAAAGTAAAGTTAAAAAAAGAAAACAAAAAACTGTCTCCTGAATAACTGCGTTAGTTAAAAAAAAATGAACTAATCTGTCTCAGTTGCTGTATAGGGAGGAACATTTTTTTCAAACCTTAAGAAAATTTTAATTTAACCAAATTAATGTTGTAAAAGTTACAGCAAAAAGAGTAACAAGTTAGCCAAACAGCATGGTGTTACTGAGAATCTTTGCAACCCAAAACAATAAAAACAACAGTGTAAGTGTTACAGTATGATGCTAGATGGAAGATAGCAACCAGTATCCCTGCAGACCAAGATTCACCAAATGACTGTGCCAGCTGCCCTTCTGGAAGTGTCAGAACTCCAGCAGGTGACGGTGGGAACCTGAGAAACAGCACTGCAGCAAAAGAAGGTGCAGCATTCGAGCCTGGGGGCACTGGCACATGTGCGGGTATGTAAAATGCATGTATGAAGAATACAAGTGCATTTCATCACTGACTACTGACCAGTTTGCCTTTGTAGACAATGCCAAAAAAGCAAATGTATGATTCTAAGGTACAGTCTAAGTAATACTTTAGTATTTTTGACTCTTAAATTAGAAGGGCCTTTCATTAAGGCTTCAGTAAGCCTTTTCAGTAACAAAAAAGAAACAATGGTGGATTATTAATGCATACCCACAGCGGTACTGGTATTGCCAAGTGGGCTGAGATTTGATTGCATTCTTGAAAGCAGATCAGTAATAATATCCAACGTGTCTAGTTTAGCTCAGATATGCACCACTGCATCTACGTAGTTTGAAGGCTGCCAACTAGTAACATATTAATCATTACTAATCAGTCAATAACTTCCAAAGCACAAACATGTTCTAAATCTGAAGTCATCGTAAAGTACTCTTTTTCAAACTAACTTCCTTGAGAATGAAATAGAAAGAAGCCTTAATTCTGCAGAATCCATACACTCAGAAATCTTTGCTAGAAAACTCCCGTTAAACTGCTGTGTTTATTACCTACTGCAGTTGGACTAGATCGTTGTAAGCCCCTTCCAACTGAACAATTACATTCTATTATTTAAAAGTCTCAAGCCTGGTTTACAATTTCTAGCACATTCTTATAGTGTGCTCTATTTTATGTGACTATTCCAGACACTTTATCATCTAATAAATAAAGTGGGTTTCAAACCCAAACAACAGAGCCATTAAAAAAAAAAATCCAAATTGGACCAAGAGGGTGAAATATTTGCAAATCAGGCAGCAATTCTAAATGAAATGCCATGAAACGTTCAACATGTTGAGTCAGGATCTTTTCTTTAAATTTGTCAGAGCACTGATTAAAAAAAAAAAAAAAGGAACAGAAAAACAGTTTTAGGTATTAACATAATTTGATTGGTATGTAAAAGTTACTGTTTACTCAAATATTGCTTTTACGTGCTTGGAAGATGAAAATTTCAAATTGTTAATTTTAACTAAACAAGAGTTAAGCTCTTCTTCTTCCAAAGAATTTATGGACATGACTTGATTAATCCTCAATAATTCTAGGACACAGGTTATAAAATACAGCACATTTACCCTCATTTACAAAGTAGGGAAATTAAGAGCTCACAATAGTTTGTCCAAATTCACAAGTTAAACATCAATGGCAAGCTGGGTTTCGAATTTAGGGACAGGACTAGATTGCCTCCATTAAACATACTAATCTTTAACATGAGAACAAATCAGAAAGAACTGGGTTCATAAAACTGCAAACAATAAATGCCAACTCTCTGAGGATTGTTTTAAAATAAGCAAAAGAAATTAATTCAAATTATGTGAAGACGCGTTTTACCTCAGAAAGCACTCTACTCCTTTCAGTTACTCCTCCACTTCCCTCCTGGTACTTCTCTTTAGCCTGGAAAGAAACATGTTTTTTGCTGTAATGACAATGCTGAAGAGATGTATGCAGATAGCTCAGAGAGAACACCAAAACTTGTTTTCACACATCCCAATTCCAGAAAACTCTCCCACAAAGTCCAGGTGCCATTTGCAGTGCTACACATGAGGACATGCTTGAAACATCAGCCCCTGTAATGACTATCATTCAAAAATTTAAAGCAGTTTTAAAAATTGTAGTAGACCTAATACACACACAATAACAAGTATGTTTTCTGATCATTTACGTGAGGAAATAAACATAAAAGAAAATTTGTCAGAATGCAGACAGGATTGAACCCTGAAACCCAGAATATTTCTTTGTCAACAGTAAATTACTGTCTTGAAGTTTCTTAAAGTTTAACAGTAAGGTAAACAGCACAGAGGTCAAATCCTCTTAGTGTTATTTTAATGTCACACCCACAAATAGGAGGGCTAGCCAAATGGTAGCTTACACAGGCCTCCTAACTGGGGGATCAAAAAGCTTCTCAAACAGCCTCTATTGGCATAAAAACTAAATTAAGTAAAAAATCAGAGTGCTTTGTGCACATTAGCATGAGTAATCAATATAAGAGATGAGTGCTGGACTGACACTGTAGTTTTTCCACTCATTGCAGAGTGTGAACTTCACAGGGAAAACAGAGCTAGCAATTTACTATCTGCTCAATATTGACAACAGATTTACATAGTATTCAGGCAAAATCCATTTACTTTCACCTGTAGAACAGCTGAATAAAAATTGCTAGTTTAGCTTAAAAACTATATAATTTGACAGCCAATCAACATTTCCCCTGCTTTACACCCAACAGCAGAATTCACAGGTAACTCTCTGAGTCTTCTTTGCCTTCAGCCTCACTCAACAGCAAGTTAATACCAGAGAACACAACAAGAAAAGATCAGTGTATTACCTCACTCAGCAAGGCTTGTGCTGAACGGTACTCTTGAACCAAGTGCTCCAACTGATTGTTTATGTACTTTTCCCTGCTATTGATCTTTTCCAATGTTCTGCTGATTTCATTATGGAGTTTGTCAAGGTAACCCTAGGAAAATCATATTATATGGGTTGACAGTATACAGATAGTACACAGGGAGTATTAAAATGGCGCTGTAATTAAGAAAGGATATGGAACCCTACAAATGAGAGAAAAATAGCACAGAAATGCTGTGTCTGGCCAACAAAAAATTAATCCTAATGTGTTCTGGTTTGCAGACCTCCAAAACAGATATTTCAAGTTTTACTGTCTCCATCACGCTCCCCCCTCATTTAATTACAAATATCAATATCAGTAAGTTACTCTAACAACAGCATTTGACAGTATTTTGGGGTTTTTATCAGCACTTTTTCAGATTATATTATTGTATTATTCTATTTTGCCCTCTATAGTTACGCTGTACTTATGATAATGCATACATTAATGAACCCTAACATCCCTGTTAATCCACATATATACAACTCTTTTCCACAGGATCTTTTGCCAGTCCCACTGTCCCTAATCAACATTATTGCATGTTTCCTTTTTTAGTTTTACAGCACTAGCACACATAAAATGAAGAAAAAAAATTAATTTATTCTTAACATATATCAAAGAGAAAATAAAAATGCTGACAGATCAGTGAAATATTCTGCATTTATAAGACATACCCTAGTTTCTTTCAAAGAAGATTCAATTCCATCCTTATGCTGATGCATTTGATCTACGTGGATCCTCCAATCCTGGAAAAGATGTCACCAAGTAGAGCATAGGTAAGTAAAATTTATCTTTCTCTGGTTACTAAACAAAGGCTGGTAAGTAAGGCAGGGTCAGTTCTCTTTTAAACTATTACTGTGTATCATTCTGCCACTGCCATGTTCATATCCAGAGGCACTTGCTTAACGTGACACAATTTATAAATCTCCTAAATGTCGTGATGTGACACTCAGATCCATAAACAAACACTGACATCCTTACTGATACCGCAGTAGCTATGCTTTTTAGAGTCTGGCTGATCTTCAGGGAACTACTTCTGCTAGAAACCACTCTGGGCACAAATACTGGAAATATTGATTATATTTGCACTAACTTAGCTTATTCTTAGACAAAATGACTACTTCAAATGTCCAACACCTACCACTTCCAGCCTGACAGATACTCCCTTTTTACTTAGCCCTTACTATTATCAGGAGAAGAACGGAAAGAAATTACAGAGGCTGAAGCACCTGAACTTGTTTTTGGTAGTGGGACAAAATTAGAAGGGGAAAAATAATTTGCAGCTTCTAGGTCATTGGAAAGATACATGGACTCAGGGGTGGGGGATGAGAGAAGATGCTATTTTAACTTTATAGGTAGGCAACTTCTACATAGAAATCAATTCCAGTTCCCAAGCTTTATCACAAATTTTTCCCTAACAATGCAAACTTTTTACATCTCCCAGACCAAAGCACAGCTGCAGACAGTGAGTAAAAAATGAAGCAAAGTAGCAGCACTGCAGAATTACTGCTATTTCAGTATTGTGTTTCTGAACATGCTAAAAAATATTTTTGAGATTTCTAAGCTTTTGGCACTGTACTGGTCTAAGTGTTAAAAAAATGTTATGTTAATAAATCTTTATCACTTGAAATCAAACCTTAGGAGACTTTCTTGTAGAATAGGTACTGTGAGGATATGTAGAAGGTGGCAGTGTTTGCTTCAGTAAGATTATCTGATCGAGGACGTTGTCAAAATGAGACGATAAGGAAAAGGGGGAGGGAAAAACCAAAACCTACAGAGATACAGACCTGTCAGAAAAACACTAAGGCAGACAAGGACAAGAAACAAAACTCCTAAGTCACACTAACTGATGGGCTATCAAGAAACTGCAGCATCACTTCAAAGAAGGTGAACCTGGCCCTGGTAACTGATAATGCAAATCTGGGGGCTCTAGATATTCGGGAGGAGGGTTGGTGCAACTATGCACACTGATGAAACAACATGCAGGGGAAAGGGACTGGGGAGGAACAAAGTGGGGAACGGAGAGGGGTATAAGAGAGGCTGGTCATGTGTAAATAGTTGCCCAGGGCTGCAGGTGTCCCAGACCTGTGGTGTCTGCAGATGGAGAGAGTAGGGGTCTCAGTGCCAGCCACAAGAGCAGGTGAGGGTCTCAGCCATCAAGGCTGGATCAATGTGTATCCTAAAATCCAGCTTCTGGGAAGGACCGGTGTAAGTAAAGCAAGTGAGAGGCTCAGTGCTAGCAGCTGGAGCAAGGCTGTGGGTCACAAGCCCGTGGTGCTGATGCCAGCTGCTGGGGTGGGGACAGGCAAGGGTTTGCATCTTCCCTAAACCTGCTGTGCATGTGTAAAATTCAATAGCAGACTTAAAACTGAACAAGCCGTCAAGTAGTAGGCCCTGGGTCCAGGCCTGGGTGTGAGGCAGGCAGAGAGTATATGCTGGTATTCAGGGGCACCCACAAATGTAGAGTGCCTTTAAGATAAGCATGTGAGCACACGCATCTGTTTGCTGGCAAGCATCAGGCTGGACTAGCCTGCAAATAGAAGAGCAGTGAAACAGTAAAGAAGGCCCAGGATGGAGGCAGGGGGATCAGACAGACAGAAGGACCATGCCAGTAGTTGAGGGATCCATGAATGGACACGTGCATGTGAATCTAGAGAGAAGGCAGTGTGTGCTTTCACTACTGAACTTAAATCTTAATTAGCTGAAGAGGAGGAAGGGGGCCTGGCTGTCTATACTTATATTACATGGGAGGCTGTAGAAGACAGGGCCTTGTTTATGGCAGTTTTTGTAACTGGCCATGTCTGGTTCCTCTGTGTGTCTGTGTGATATATCCTTTTGAACCTGCAAACAAGAAAGAAGCAGCAGCTGCATCCATCAGTTTGATATGGGGACCTGCAGGTCCTCAGTCATGCAGGGCTGGGCTGCAGCACCTGAGCGAGAGGAACTCCCCATCCTGGAGCTCCTGGAGGATAGAGACACTTATAGTGTCTCATAGCAGGTACAAAACAAATCCTGGCTTAAAACAGCTGCACATTTAAACAGCCCTCAATCTCAGGCAGTTCCAATGACTTGAAGTGAGGCTATCGCCCTGCACAGGACATGCACCTAACTACCAAAGGACCAGTGCTCCTGTCTCACTACCTCAGAAGAGCATAGCTGAGCATCTCCAACAGCTGTTCAGCCCATGAAGTTCATCTGCTGTCTACAATTGTGCTGCTGCCTGCTGTTCAGAATGAAACAAAGGCTAGCAGAGAAAATGTGCTTGTGTTGAATTTTGGGTTTTAAGTTTGCAGTACTCAAGATCATTTGTTGGTCTGGTGACAATTGTTCACAATTTGTTAAACTTTGAAGTTTAAATGAAAAGAACAACAAACACACCCCCCCCACACCTCCCACCACTGCCCAGGACTTTACAAATAAGTTCTTGTTTCTAATGTCATTGATTAAACCATTAACCCTCTCCTGGTACGACATATACATGCACTGCACAGGAAACGGAACATGATGCTTTTCTTGTAGAAAGAAAAAACACCAAACACTTCCCTCCAGTTATTTCTGAAAGCATGATAGCACAGAAGCTAGAAAAAGAAGAATCTTCTTTTCATGTTCATTTTGACATATTCCTTAAAGCCAAGAGATGGTGCATTAAACTGGAAGCTAGTAAACCTCACTTCTTAATAGTGACTTTAATTTTCCATGTATGCCTTTATTACATTTTAATTTCTTAGTGTGAGAATCAAGCATGATGTTCTCTGTAACAGACAGGCTTGCTGAGGATCAGAGAAAGGTGGCTCAAACCATGCAATTCTTCACATAGAAGAATGTAGTATAGTGTAAGACAGGCAAGCAATTTAACAGATAGTGGAGAGCTTAGCCTATTTTTGGCAAGATGATTATCTTTCATTTAATTCTGTATCACTGCTACAGATTGCTCCAACACCCCAACTAGACGGGTCACAACAAATGAGCAATTTCAATACTGCACTGATCTGTGTGTGCTATACAAGCTCCTAGAAGGAATGTCAATGGCAATGCCAAGAATAGGTCCTAGGTTTGGACTTTGACTTGCCAAAGATAGATGTCTATTTCCAAGCTGCTCATTCTAAACTCCTTCAAATATATTATGGAGAGAAATACTGATTTCTGAGAAAAGATGAATTTCATCTCGAAGTAGTTATCTGGACAGGTAAGTAAAATCAGTCAAAAAAGTACTCCTTTTTGCTAAACATAAGGAGAGGCCATGATGACTAGATCAGAAGTACAGACCTACTTTATTGCAATTTAAATTTCAGCAAGAAGAATTCTATGCAATCATCCTTTCATGTGGTTGACAAATTGAACAGTTGAAAGATATAAAGTTCCTCAGCTCTCTTCCAGGAAGATGTTTTAATAGCTGCTAAACTGAGGGTATAATTTTTCAAAAGTATGAATACATTACAAATGTTTAACGATTTAAGAAGTTTCTACTGAATAAACATATGGAAATAAATATACGGAAATAAGGTGCCCTGTAAGTAGCAGAAAAAAAAAATTCTTATACAATATTGGAAAAAAAAACTACTGAAAATTTTTGCTTCTACGGTCAAAGTAAATGACAAAGATTTAGACAAGATAGCATTGGAGAGCCCATTAGTCACAATTCTTGGCATGGCAAAAGAAAAAAAAATTGTAAATGGAAAGTAAAGAAACTGCCATTCTCATACCTTATTGTCAGTCCTGACTGTAACTTTCAGCTGTGGAAGCACACGTTCCACTTCCAGATTCCACTCTGCTGCATCTGTCGTGGACTGTAAAATCTGTTCTTGCTTTGCAGAGTCATTGATGTCCTGTGTAGAAATCACAAAGTTTATATACAAAAAACCACCATTATGCATTGTGAGAACTGTTAGAAATCATGTTACAATGGCTTACAATGCCTACAGTCAGAAAAAAATTTATATCCAGAATGACCTAGACTACAGATATAACAGATTTCTTTAATGGCCTTCTTTGAATTCATAAAGACTAGGAATTAAAATAAATGCATCTTCTCATCATAGTGAGAATTGAAAAGAATGAACACAGTAAAAAATTACAATAATTCCAGAAATAGCATGGGGAGGAAAAATTAAAATACAGTCAAGAAACTAATACCATGTTTCCCTAAAAGTCTCTGCAAAAATTTCTTGCAAATGTTTCCAGCAACCTTGCAGTGATAACAGTTTAGTACTCTTTTAAAATAAGCTGATTCATTTCAGTTGGAATGTTTTTTCAAGTTTAGACTATATAAAGACTTTCACACTTAAATCCAACAGAAATAATAAACTGCTCCTACAGATGTAAAAATCTCTCAACAGAGGACTGATGTGTAACAACTTACTGATCTGTATGTTTGTGCCTTCAGAATATTCAGGTCAATAAAATTTTCTTCACTGTCTGACTCTTCTTCCTTAAGGAAAGTCGCAAAGTTAAGACATCAGTAAGTATTGCACAAACTTTCTCCATTTTATTTTGCAAGAGCACAGGACAAGGAGTATTAAAGTGCAAATTTCTGGCACAGAGAGTTTATTATAATGGAACTTCTATCTACTTTAAATCTTATGAGGAGACACAATATCTGGGACAAGCTGAAAGATTAAAGCTACTCCACACTTACCTCAGGGTGCCACAGTATTTAAAAATTAAACCAACCAACCAAAAAAAAAAAACCCAAAACTTAAGCCCTTTCACATTAAATGGGCCATTATCAATAGTTGCATGGTAGCTGTAATTTCATATGTGTTTCCTAAAGCTTTGCATTAAAAAGAAACCAAATCAAACCACAACCAGATCTGAACAGAGTTTTCAATATGTTGTTTGCACTACAGAGTTGGAGCTGCAGAATGATGGCACATTTTGAAACTGTGCAGACAGATACAATTCAAATTGAGGCAGACAGTTTGTTTTCTTGCTCATGACGCTATGCACTGGGCTGACAGTTTTATAGAATTATCTATTATGGGCTGAAAATTGCATTCTTCAGTGATCATGATCAGCTCAAAGACCATCTCTGCGTAAGTCAAAGATGCTTTTGCCGTGCGTTACCCTCCATTTATCTATATTAAATTTTACCTGCCATTTTATCACCCATGCATTTTACCCTTATAAACCTTGTCCTTCTGTACTTACAAACTTTGTCCTCCTTGTCCTTCACCCTTTTAAACCCTGTCCTCCCTCTTCTGTCAGCCATCGTCTTTTCCACCAAAGTAAAATTTCATCATTCACCTCCTTTCTAGACAAATTATGAATGCTGCAATAACACAGGTCTTAGTGTAGAAACATTCAAGACTCAGTGAAAACCTGGGAGCTTATTCCTTTACCATTCCTAGTTTTTAACTAACAGGGACCACTCTATTTTCTTCTGGCATGTTTGGCCCCTAGTCCCTTGAATACTTGCACGAAATTAATGGTGACTAGATTGGGGCTATCTTTTGCTAAATGGACAAAATATATTTGTACAGTGCTTCAAAGAACATATTACAACACTACCATGACAACAACGACTAGTTATCAGAACTGAGAAACCAGACTCTGCAGATTTCCTTGCACAGCCAGCCTCGTTGGCTACTGTTCACCTAGTTCCCCAAGATCTATAGAACTAGGCTTGTCTCTGTTAGCCTCATCAATTTGATTCAGAAGAATCAAAACCAGAAGAACAATCAATGAACCTTATCATTAGCATTTAACTGCTGGAAATACTGCTAAATTCAAATATGGATACAGGTAATATATCCAGGACATATCAATATATTGTCAGCAACAATGGACTGGGGAAAAAAAAATTACATCAGCATATAATCAATACCTGTAAAACCATTTGGGCTCTAAAAGAACAGTTATCCACTTGGTATGAACCTAGCTGAATGGTTTTATTAACACACAAACTTAGAAGAGCTAATAAAACACGTAGTTGTTAAAATCATGGCCTAAAATACTACCTGAGAGCAAATTCAGAGGTTCTTTGAAGGGTTTCAACTGTGCTTTAGTTAACTGTTTCCTCCCCACTTCCCAACTGAAACAGCTTAGACCTTAATGAGACACAGAAAAGACCTGACAGCTGATTGTTTTCAGATTTAAAGCTTTTAGCCAAGGGCTTACAATTTCTGAAGCTGGTCAAACATGTAATACAGAATGTCTCTTATTGTTCTCAAAATTATTCAAGACTTTTTCTGTGGAGACTTCAAAGCTGGTAAAAAAGTAACCAGACATCCACATTACAATATTTGCATATTGTGTGAAATTGAATAATAAAAGTTTGGAATTTTTCTTGGCTAACAAAAGTGAGAAAAATAATGCAATAGTTAAGAAAACTGTGAGAAGAGGAAGAAGCAAACTCTTAATTGGTTACATCCTTGTGGATTATTGTGGCATATAAATTGGGACTATGATCAGAAACCATATGATAACATTACTGCCACTCTATTTGCAATTTTTATCACCTTTAATTTTTCCCAAGCCCTTGAAAAGTGTGAAAAATGGGACAGTTGTGGCATTTTCTATCCAGTATTGCTGGGCCTTAACACTCCAGAAAATTGTTTGCGCCTCAAGTAATTTACTGACTCAGGAATTGTACACTTTCAGGCTCACAGCTTTCAATATTTTGAGCTTGATCTACATTTATTTTGCACAGAATCGTCAGATTTTGGAGAAATCAGATGTGAAACTAACTTATTTATGTAATTTTCATTTTAATTGTCTTCAGCTACTTCCCTCTCCAGAAAAATCTTGTTTAAGTCAGCAGTAAAAGATTCACTTCGGGGAGACTGACAGAGGCCTGTGAAAATTACAATGTCTCTAGAATCATACACAGCATGTACGGAAGTCAGGCGCACCACCTGTGGCTCGTGTAGGTGGATGCTGAAGTTTTGCCGGGGGCAGAAGCTTCACAAGGTGGCCTTAGGAGCCCAGCAAGCAGGAAGGTTCCTCTGAGGAAGAGGGAAGAACTAAGGACCAGGTGCTGCAGTGGTGGGTGTGGGAAGTTGTGCAGCAGGGCACAGGAATTCTGCCCCTCCTTGCTTGTGAGACCTACGTATCTGTTGGTAGTCTGTGACCACTTTTTGCCATGGTCTCCATCAGGCAGAGAGCTTGCCTCAAAAAGACTG